GTCAGACAAAACTGGATTCAAGGCAGAGAGTATTACTAGACACAAAGAGAATCACACTAAAAAGGTAAAAGGGAGAATACACAGAGAAAGATACTTTATAAATGTTCAAATGTGACTAATGATACGAGGTTCCAATATATGAAGCAAAAACTAACAGAACCAAAAAGGGAAAATAACCAAATCCACAATGGTAGCTGAAGGCTTTAATGCTTCTCTCTCAGTAACTGACATTACAACAAGATAAAAGAATTAGTAGGGCACAAAATACTTAAATAATAATATCAACCGTTTTAAACAAATACAATTATAGAACAGTATGCCTAATAACTGCAGAATATACATCCATTACCAGTGCACATGGGACATTCACCAAGATAAATGACATGCTGAGCCAAGAAACACACGTCAATAGATTTCAAAAGATTGAAATCTTACTGGGTACTTTCTGACCACAAGTGAACTAAATCAGAAACCAATGAGAGAGAGAGAGAGAGAGAGAGAGAGAGAGAGAGAGAGAGAGAGAGAGAGAGAAAGGAGGGGAAAGAAAAAAGGGAGAGGAACCTCTAGTTTCTGGTAATTAAGCAATTTAATTCTAAACAATCCATAGGGAAAAGAAGAAATCACATAAACAATTTTCATATTTTAACAGAATGAAAATGAAAAACAAATCAAAATTTATGGTAAAATCAGTTATCTAAGATCCTACTTTAGAAAGCTAGGGTGAAACTGATCAAAATACACACCAATAGAAAAGAAATACTAATAAGACTAGAGATCAATGGAATAGAAAACAGACAGAGAAAAATCAATGAAACCAAATGGTAGCTACCTGACAAGATCAATAATGTTGATAAACCTCTATTTAGATTAAGAGGAAATGAATAAGCAATGTCAGGAATGAAAAACGGTCAAAATTATAGATCCTACAGACATTAAAAATAAAATATAGGATTAAATTTTTAGCAATTTGATAATTCAGATAAAATAAACAAAACATTTAAAAGACACAGATCAACACATTACCCAACTGGCACATGAAGAAATGTACAATCTGAATAGGTTTATGTCTATTTGTAATTCTAAACTTCACATAAAAAAATAGTCCCAAATGGTTTCACTGTGAAACAATCAAACATTTAACAAAGGAAAACATCAATCCCTTACAAACTTTTTAAGAAAAAAGAGGAAATACTTCCCAACCAATTTTTTGAAATTACTCTGATGTCAAAACTACACAAAGATACTACAAAGAAAGATTATAGCTCAATATCCATCATAAACACAAATGTAAGTTTTTAACAAAATAATTAGCAAATTGAATCCAATAGTACATAACAACCAAGCAGGTTTTATCCTAGGAATGCACAGTTTGTTTAACATTTAAAATGAATAGATATAGTTCACCAAATTAACAAAATAAAGTATAAGAAGAAAAAATAGCACCTGACAAAATTCAACACCCACTGATGATCAAAACCACAACAAACGTAGATATAAAAGGGAACATTCTCAATTTGGTTAAAAAACAACAAAAAAGAAAAAACCCTATACTGCACTTAACAGTGAATGACATTGTTCTCTCCCTAAGACTAAAAAGAAGGCAAAGATGTGTCTACTCTTACCATTTCTACCCAGTATTGTACTGGAAGTCCAACAAGTGCAATAAAGCGCAAAAAAGCAAGAGGCGAAACTGCCTTCACCTGCAGATGACATGACTGTGTGTACGGAAAATCCTAAGGAACCAATAGGAAGCTCCTAGTCTTCAGGAGGGGCGTTGGGAACGTTTTGCATCTTGATCACTGTCAAAGTTTCTTTGGTAAAAACCTCTGAAAAAATTCATCAAATGGTATGCTTAAGGAGCAGTTTGGTATACATAAATTACACCCCAGAAAGTTATTTTTAAAATTACACACTAAAAATCCCCTATGTGAATAAAACAAAACAAAGACAACAACAACAAAAATCCCAAACACCTGGGAGTCAAAATAAATAATCTAGAGGAGCTTATATTTAAAAATAGGTCCATATAATATTCGTCATAAAGAACTGACAGTTCAAAAATTTTTAACTAGTGACTGCAGTTTAAAAAATGGAGTATTTAAATGCACTTATATTCAAACAGTCCTACTGGGTGTTGCACACACTCTAATGTGGCCATGCTGCAATTTTCATGTATTTTAAATTTCTATATTGTCCTGGGGAATAGGAAATAGACACAGGTTTATTCTAAATTGATAAATGCCTAATCGTGTTTTGATTCTATATTCTATACTATACTCTGAGAAAATAAATACTTCTCCCATGACAATGTATCTTTTTAATTTATTACTTAACATAATTCAAAACTTCCATTACTCCAAGGAAGTCAAAATAAACATTAACTTCTCACAAGATTTTTCCATTCACTACTTTTCAATAAAGAAAGTACCTACAACTGAAACTCTCTAGTACAACAATGAAGTACAAGAAGCCACTAAACTTTTTCACTTGTCACAAATGTGCACAAAATGCCGTTCTTTGGTGGCTGAATGCATTCGTATTGCATAACTCAAGATACCCGAGCCATGGGCCCCGGGGCGGGTCTTGACAAGAAGAATTTCAAAAGATGGGAAGGCAGTTTCACAGAAATAAAAACGCACAAAACCAAAAACCCTCTGGCAATTATTAAGAAAACTTCAGAAGAAACTTGATACAAAGGACCCGGGGCAAAAATAGCTCAAATTATTTCTGTGTAGAAGAATGTTCTTCCACAAACTGTACAGGGTTTGGAGTAGAAAGGGAATAAATCCGATAAATTCATGAAAGTGCCAAAAATATATTTAATTAAAAATGGTAACATCTTCATTATTCAAAATTCAACTGATCAGCATAATAATGAAAGGAGAATTTTTTATAATGCTTTTATACAAAACTGAACAGGCAACAAGCTCATATCCAAGAGTTACTCTGAACATACATACAATGTTTAGGGCATTTTGAAGTCACAGACATTTATAGCCACTGTTCGCAGTATCACCAATCTCTGAGTCTCAGTTTCCTCATTTATGGAATAGTCTCTAGGGTTCCTCTGGTTCTATCACTCTATGTTCAGAATAATGCTTCTTTATAAAAACAGAACCCTAAGTATCAAATAGGTGAGAAAGTAGGTATTTGGGAATGTAAAAAATCGTTCAGCCCAGCCAGCGTGGCTCAGTGGTTGAGTGTTGACCTAGGAACCAGGAGGACACGGTTCAATTCCCGGTCAGGGCACATGCCCGGGTTGCAGGCTCGATCCCCAATGTGAGGCGTGCAGGAGGCAGCTGATCCATGATTCTCTCATCACTGATGTTTCTATCTCTCTCTCCCTCTCCCTTCCTCTCTGCAATCAATAAAAATATTTTTTTAAAAAATTGTTTAGTTATTTAGGACATAGCATATCCCAAGCAAGATAATTCAATCTCCAACATATAAGAAACTACCATAATGTTTTGTAATATCCCAGAAACACAATTAGACCAGAAATAAAAATCATGCATCATATACCATATATTCAGATACCTACATGCTTCCTTAAAAGCAAGCTGTTTACGCCCTCGCCAGTTTGGCTCTGTGGATAGAGCATTGGCCCTTGGAATGAAGGGTCCTGGGTTTGATTCCAGTCAAGGGCATGTACCCCAGCCCTGATTAGGGCTCATGAGAGAGGCAATCAATTGATGTCTCTCTCTCACATTGATGTTTCTCTCTCTGTGTGTCTCTCCCCCTTCCTTCTATTCTCTCTAAAAAACCAATGGAAAAATATCCTCAGGTGAGCATTAACAACAACAACAAAACCAAGCTGTATAGTAGAATTGGAAAGCTGGGTTATTTTTTACCCTCCATTCTAAACCTTTTGGGTTCAACAAGTCATCTGGCATTTCTGAGCCTTGGATGTTTATCTATTTTGAAATTGGAACAGATGATCTCCTAAGTCCCCAACTACAGGGTCCTCTCAAGAAAAACAAAAAAAGGGGCTTAAATTACATTTAGTTAATCATCAGATGAGTTGCTCCCAGCCTCATGCTAATATCCTCTGTAAATATATATACGGCCATCTAGACTATTTTTTAATGTACCAAAAATCCATAAAGATTCATTACTACTTCTTCAGATTTAATGATTTCACATCAGTGACCACATAGAGAAGAACTATTTCAAGAAACTTTAAAATACACTAAGTTTCCCGAACAGCTCTGTAGGATGTCATCTAAAGTCCAAAAGAAGTATCCAAAAAAGTAAACTGGTCTGAAGAGCCACGTTGTTTGCAGCAGTGAGTTCTGCCCGAGCTGCTGTGCACATGACGAAGCTGTCAGGTGACTCATCACAGTGAGATGTCAGGCAACCACCTCAGTACCTCTAGGCTCATGTGTTACGTTTTACTTTAGATTTTTTCAGATTACTATTTTTAAAACTTAATTTTGTTTTATAATCATGTGGAATATTTACATGGTTCCAAAGTCAAACCTACAAAAAACAAATGTGTTCAAAGAAGTCTAGCTTCTCCAGTCCTTCCATGCACTTTGAATACAGGGTCTGAGACACAGAAACCCAGTGCTGACCACAGAACAGCATGGCCCCTGGATTCAAATCTAGAGTGTATAACCGTGGATCATGGCTTAAGGGCTCTAAGCTATTTCCTCGTGTCTACAATGGTAACACCAATACTTGAGAGGGGGTATTGTGAGGAGGAAGATCATCTATGCACAGTATTCAGCTTTGTGAGCTCTCAGCCAAGACTGACCGCTAGCCCTAGGCTCTCCTTTGAGCTCACCACAGTCCTGGAGCTCAGGCACAGGAACCTAGAGATGCTCTATCACTGGCCCGAGGTCAGTGGAGTTCGATGGCCAAGACCACAGCTATGTTTCAATCCCAGTACTCACTCCTAAGATCCCAGGCTCCTCCATGTTCCATGCTCATCACATATGCCCTCCAGTCAGCACAAGGAAAGAACATCTTCCCACCCAGGGCAACTTCAGAAGACTCACTGTGTTCAGTGCATTGAGAGTGGTGTCATCCCGAGACGCAGCAACACAGCCATCCTCGGTGGAGCCTCCGTCACACATGCCTGCAAACGCCGCCATGCTCCTGGGAAGACAGGAAGGGAAGACATCAGTACAGACATGTTAGCCCTCAATTATCAGAGTACATTTCCAGCCGACCACATTCCACTCTTACACGCATGGTAAGCCAGAGTTCTCAGTCCCATACAATTCACCTCCATTCACTTAGGAAGAAAACTGTTCCTTTTACTCATGTCCAGCTGTGTTATTCTTCCCATGCTTCATCAGTACTCAGATTTTAATTTCCAGAGCATGAATAATCTAAAACTATATGCCACAACAATTGCCTAGATTACAATCTTTTGAAAGAAAAGTCCCCAGAAAACATAAAATTAAATCCTCTGAAACTTGACATAATTCCTTCCATGCTATACATCAAGTACTTTTAGGTGAATTAAAAGTAAAAAAGAGATAAAATAAGTCGTTCCCTCTGCCACAGGATCCTCATCTCCACTGTACGCCTCCAGCACAGCACTGCTGACCACCAAGCAGCTGGAGCTGAAATTCAGTTGCCTGGCCTTGTTTTAGCATTTTTTTAAAAAATATATTTTATTGATTTTCTACAGAGAGGAAGGGAGAGGGATAGAGAGCCAGAAACATCGATGAGAGAGAAACATCGATCAGCTGCCTCCTGCACACTCCCCACTGGGGATGTGCCCGCAACCAAGGTACATGCCCTTGACGGGAATCGAACCCGGGACCCTTGAGTCCGCAGGCCGATGCTCTATCCACTGAGCCAAACCGGTTAGGGCTGTTTTAGCATTTTTGTTGCACAGGTGAGGCTGCAGTGAATCCACGAAATCACTGCAGACAAAGGAAGGCTCTCTACCTGCACTGCAAGGGTCAGGGACAGATTTAATCTTCTCTTTTGTAGCTTAGGCATTTGTTTGTTAGCAAGTTCTTATATAGGTAAGCCACAAAAACACATTTAGGCCTGGCACCGATGAACAGCCATAAAGTTGAGAACTCTGTGATGGGATTTAAAGATGGATGGAATGACCCAATTGCTCATTGTATTGAGGAGTTTGACAATAGCATGTATGGCTTTAGATGTTTTCCTTCTGAAGAGTTCCAAACTCGGATGTGGGACAAAGAGGGGAAGAAAAAAGTGACTTTACCATGGTAAAACGGGGCTCTGATTACAGAGGGTATAACAAAACTGAAGTCAGAGAATGCCCAATATATAAATAAAATGTCGGGGGACAGGAGAAAGTTTATTGCCTACTAATCAATTCAGATTGCCTAATCCAGAGAGCAGGATGGAGCGAATTCCTCTTACCTTGCTGCCCTCAAGTACATGAGGAGGTCACAGTCATTAACTCCAGGCATCCAGACCAGCTCCTCATGTTGGGTCACAGTGTCACCATCTGGAGAAGGGAATGGCTGCAAATCGGGAAGCTTGGCCTGTAAGACAGGGATGGGGAAGTCACAACCAGGCCCTTTGAAGGGCTGCTGCCGGCAGGCCCTGGGCAGAGAGGCAGCAGCTCACTGGATCTCGAGGCATTACTGAATAACAGCAAAACCCTGCGCCACGGAAACCGCCTGCAGCACGTTTCCAGGTCATTTCACACATAATATTTCACCATGGACTGCTTAATCTCTACTTTCTAAACCAGGGCAAGATCCAAAGATTGAAACAGAAATGGACATGTGTGAGTAAAAAATAAATCAAACAAAAAATGTCTCAGGAGCTTACAGTGCTGCCTTGATAAAGAAAGAAAAAACACACGCATTTCCAATATAACAAGTTTACAAAGAGACATCTACAAATAATGAAATCTCACCTTAGGATATTTGCTCAAAAATTAAATGAGCTATCCTATTAAATTAATGCTCTTCTCAAGAGAGTCAATATGAGCCATGGTAAACATAAAAAGACACAGAATTGGAGTTACCATAAAAGCAGAGCTGCACTAAATGAAGGTGCAGGAATTAGATGAGCAGTGGCTTCAGGACAGGATTGCGTGGGAAGGGGCAGGAAGGAACTTTCTGAGATGATAGAAATGTCTGTCTGGATACGAACTATCACAGCAGACTGAACAGAGTACATTAATATACAAACAGTTCATTGTATGTAAGCACAATAAAATTTTTTTAAATATTTGAACATCAGTGCTCAACAACCAAGATCCTAAGTCAGCTCTAATGTAGAGACTCGAACACCTCGAGCATTTTCTCATCCGCACTCTGCTGGGGCAAAATAAACAGGTCCTACTGCACCCATCAAAGATCTATGAAAAGTCAACCACATGGAAGACACACATGCTCTTATTTTCTTAAAATTTGAACATGGACACATTAGTCTAATATTTTTAACTAAGAGCTGCAGTTTTAAAGCTCCAGTTCCACAAAATCTAGGCAAAAAATTTAAATGAATTAAGCAGGCTTAGAATAAGGCAACACTGTCCAATAGAAATAAAATGAGAGCCACATAATTCAGTTCAAATATTCTAGCATCCACATTAAATAAACCACATCCCAATCTGGACCAGCTACATTCCAACTGCTCAAAGCCACCTGTGGCAGTGGCATGGCTCTGGGTTGGGCGTGCCAGTATGAGTGGGGAACCAGGGTGAAATGGAGAGAGCTGCCCCATCCTGGGAATGCTGCCATTCAGGAACAAGAATCAGCATTTGTGCATTGTCCATTTTTTTCCAAAGTCAAAAATCTTGACTATTATGTGAAATGCTGGTGATTCAAGTTTTTAAAACAACTGTTTGCCAAAACACATCGGTAGGCCATGCAGCTCTCAGGACACCCGTCCGCAGCCTCTGCTTCATGGGCTCTGACAGCTCTCCATGTGCACCGAGCACTGGCTTTCTCCAGACAAGGGTGCGCTTCTTTGATTTAGTGGCAACTTTCATGACACTTAACTGGGTACCATAATTAGCACTGCTTAATATACAGTGAGTGTATTGAAATAAAATTAAAACACAATAGAAATTCCTATCAAAAGATCTTTAACATTTGTACTGAGCTCTGCTTCCCCAGGACCAGGCACAGTCTCTAGTGGAGTAGCTCTCCAATGATTATCTGTTAAATTAATTAAAAAGTACTACCTTTGTGGGGGAGGACCAACCCCTCTAGAGAAAAATGGGCTAGAAAATATAATTAGTTTACAGAAAAGGAAATGCACGTGGCCCTTAATGGTAGGAAAAGATGGTCTACCTCGCTGAGACGAGAAATACAAGTTAATGACAGTGAGATACCATTTCTCATCTATCACGTTAACATAAATCTCAAAGTGTGACAATATACGAGGCTATGCTAATATGAATGCAAAATGGTACAATCTCTATGGAGGGAAATTTTGTAACATTCTAAGAATTACATATGCACTTGCCCTCTAAGCCAGACAGCCCCCTTCTAGGGATATAAACCAAAGATATGCTGGCAAAAAATATAAAAATTTATATGTACAGGCTATTTATTGCAGCATCACTTGTAACAGCAAGTGACTGGAAGCAGCCCAAGTGCCCATCAACAGGACTGCAGAAGGAACTGTTTCGCCCACTCAGTGGGGTTCCATGAAGTGGAAAAGGACACGAGGGGGACTCTGCTGCTCTGGTAGGAGGTAAAGAAGAGGCACAGATGTGTACACTATGCTACCATTTTTCTAAGAACAGAAGGTGGAGGAATATAAATAAGAAGAAGTCATAACCTTAAATTAAAAAACAATTACCCATCAGGAAGGGAGGGAACATGGGGAGGAGACAGGGATAGAAGGTAGACTTTTGAACATACTTGGCTTATATATTTGAGTTTGGAGCCATGTAAATACTTTACTAATTGTAAAAACAAAATTAAGTTTAAAAAACAATAATCCCTTAAAAACTCTAAAGCAAAGTGAAACAAATGCACCTAACTATGCACTGAGTTGGTTCCTCTTCAGGAACTATTTTAAGTAATTTTAAAAAACGTATTATTTTGCCTATACAGCCCTAGTGGGACATATTCTAAGGCCAAAAAAATTAATAGTAAGGTCAATCATATTATTTTTGTCAGTGTGACTACTATTGTTCTGAGCTGTTATATATGTATTATGGGATTAAAGCAAATACTTTTGTGGATGTCATTTAAAAATAAGATTTGAGACATGAGAAAAAGATACAGATTTGGATGAAAGAAAAATAAAATTAATAAAAGGTCTATATAAAAATTTGAATTTGAATTAGAAGTATCAGGAAGAAGCCACGGTATATTTTATCTTTAAAAAAGAAGAAAATGGCTGGCCAGTGTGACTCAGTGGTTGAGCATCGACCTATGAACCAGGAGGTCACAATTCCCAGTCAGGACCTATGCCCAGGTTGTTGGCTCAATTTCCAGTATGGGACGTGAAGAAGGCAGCTAATCAATGATTCTCTGTCATCATTGATGTTTCTATCTCTCCCTCCCTCTCCCTCCCTCTCTGACAGCAATAAAGAAAAATATATTAAAAAAGAAGAAAATGGCTCTAGCTGGTGTGGCTCAATGGATAACGTGTCGGCCTGTGGACTGAAAGGTCCCGGGTTTGATTCTGGTCAAGGGCACATGCCTGGGTTGTGGGCTCGATCCCCAGTAGGGGGCGTGCAAGGAGGCAGCCAATCAATGATTCTCTCTCATCATTGATGTTTCTATTTCTCTCTCCCTCTCCCTTCCTCTCTGAAATCAATATATATATATATATATATATATATATATATATATATATATATATGTAAAAGAAGAAAATGAAAGCTAAAGCATATTTCCTAATCTGTTCCCTAAAAGGCCTGGAAACAGTAGCCAACCCAATAACAATGAACAACCTCGCAGCCAGTGGAAAAAAGTCACTTCCCACTGAAATAATGAGGGCTCCCACGAGAAAGGTTTAATTCCAGATCTAGGGTAGAGAATGTACAAGATGAGACATCACAATCATGTCATACCAGATAAAAGAAACCTACCAAAGTCCACTGGGGCCGAGTCAAAGGGACACAAAAGACAACATGAAGAGGCTCCTATCTATCCCCCAAATAAATAATTTGATCATCAATAAGAATAACTACATCTGGTTAGCAGATAATAAACAATCTTAAATCTACTGGTCACTGCTGGAAGATTAGGGAACCAACTCCATATTTTGAAACATAAACAGAAAGGAGAGTCAAGCATTAACCGTACCTTTCCTATGTGAACCAGGGAATCAATAGTTAAAGGGGAAGCCCTAGCTGGTTTGGCTCAGTGGATAGAGCGTTGGCCTAAGGACTGAAGGGTCCCAGGTTCGATTTTGGTCAAGGGCACATGCCTGGGTTGCAAGCTTGATCCCCAGTAGGGGGCGTGCAGGCGTGCAGGAGGCAGCCGATCAATGATTCTCTCTCATCATTGATGTTTCTATCTCTCTCTCCCTCTGCTTTCCTCTCTGAAATCAATAAAAAATACAAATAAAAATAAATAGTTAGGGGGGAAGTTTCATGTAGTCAGCTAATAAATCAAAGAAGTTTTGAGATCCCTAAGTAAACAGTGGATCTAAGTAACAAGCAAAGGCTGCAAATCATCATTAAAAGACACAAGTGCCTCCTGGTAGATGCACAGAGCACCACCCTGAACTATTCCTGCCTGGCGAGGATACCAGACTGGAATGTGATTAAACCTCTAGACTAGTGGTTCTCAACCTGTGGGTCACGACCCCTTTGGGGGTCGAACGACCCTTTCACAGGGGTCGCCTAAGACCATCGGAAAACACATATATAATTACATATTGTTTTTGTGATTAATCACTATGCTTTAATTATGTTCAATTTGTAACAATGAAATTGGGGGTCACCACAACATGAGGGACTGTATTAAAGGGTCACGGCATTAGGAAGGTTGAGAACCACTGCTCTAGACTTAACTACTAATTTTCAAGGTACGCCAAGGAGAAGGGAACAAGTTTAATGACACCCAAAGATTCAATCAGCTAAGTCCAGACCATGGGACACCCTACAGAGTAAAACTCTCCACTTCTTCAACACATACATTGAAAGGGGAGAGAAGAATATGAGAAACACCAATTAAAAGAGATTTATGAGGCATATCAACCAGTTGCAATGCACAACCCTTATTTAGATTCCAATTCGAACTGTAATCCAAAAAAAAGAGAGAAAGAGAGAAAGAGGCAATTACAGAAATCTGGACATAGTGGACACTTGAACATTAAGAAATTGCTCATTATTTTTGCCCAGCCAGCATGCTCAGTGGTTGAGTGTCAACCTATGAACCAGAAGGTCATGGTTCGAATCCCGTTCAGGGCACATGCCTGGGTTGCAGGCTCAATCCCCAGTGTGGGGTGTGCAGGAGGCAGCCAATCAATGATTTTCTCTCATCATTGACGTTTCTATCTATCTCTCCCTCTCCCTTCCTCTCTGAAATAAATAAAAAATATATTTTTAAAGAAAGAAATTGCTCATTTTTATTAGGTGTGACATATTTTGATTGTTTTGGGGTTTTTTTTGAAAGAGATATTTATAAGTGAAGGATATTTACAAGTGAGGGATACAGTTCTGGTTTATTTAAAAATAATGGTGGGAGAGGTGAGAAAGCATAAATTAAGTTTTACTATACTATGTGTGAAAGCTCAGTAATATGATTAAGGAGGTTTACTGTACTAATCGTTCCTTATTTTTGCATATGTTAATATTTTATCTAATAAAAAAGTTAAAAATTTTAAGAAGGCAAATGTTGCCAATTCATAAAAAGGTCCTCTAATATTTGATGCTTCGAAACATTCCTTTTTGAAAATAAACCATACAGAATATATTTAAAATCGGACATAATATCCGATTTTAAATGAAAGTATACAAAAATCCAAGCATAGTAAATCTGTCAATTTCCAAGAATTTAAGCATCTTTACTTAAAAACCACTTTTTCTGTTATGGTAGGGGGAAAAAATCTGTAAAATAAAACGTTAGTACAATGATCTCAAGACACTGGAAACACATGGAGGAAGAAAAAAATAGGTGTGAAATGCAGTGGGAAGAGAGAGCTGAGAGAGGGAGATGTAATCGAGTGGTCCAGGCTAGGCCTGGATCTCTGGGTTAAAATGAAGTCCCAGGCCTGAAGGCACAGGACATCCGGTGGAGATGGTAGTCAGCCCTACTAAGAGACCACACCCAGAACAGGGTACACAGCAGGTCCTTTCGTCAATGTCATTTCATTATAACATCGATGAGATGCCATAGGAACTTAACTCTCGTGTGGATCAATCAGCCTACGGTAAACTCGATTTCATTATCTCTTTTCCGTAGTTGCAGAACCTATCAACAATGTTAGGTGAGGACTTACTGTGCCTGAACAAGGCAGTCGTTAGGGGAGTGGCCTCTGGCAGCTTCTTCCTACCTGTCTCAGTTATAACCCTAGGTCTGGGATGAGAAGTTCCTTCTAGTAATTAGATGCCCCTTATCATTTCTGTGTTTTGGTTTTAATATTTCTTTACTTATTAATTTCTTTCTCACTATAGAGTTAAAATAGGTTGTTAAAAAATATGCATGACATACAAGAAATACTCAAAACCAGACAGAAAAATGACTAACTAGACAGATTACTAAAACCTCTATATCCTTATAAGGAGTTTCCTATAGATCATGTCTCTAGTATGTGTGGGCCATAGTGACTAACTCCCCAACATCTATTCCAACTGAAATGACAATCATGCTAGACCTATTTCCCTCATGGTTTAGAAATGGACACGTGACCCAATCCATGCCAATGAGATGTGAGGACTGAGTGAGACCTGGGAGAATTTTCTTTGCCTCTAAGGGGAAGAGAAGGATGATCACTTTCCTACTCTCAACATTTGCTGTATTTCACTCATTGTGAGACCCACTGTTATTTTATGTGCATTTAGAAAGGAGACATGCTGCCCATTAAATTATAATTCTACCACAGCATGTACAGTGAAGTCCGTCAGAGACAGTAAGAAGTGAAGGAGAGAAGAGCATCTTAGGATCAGTGAAATTCAGCTCCCAGCCTGCGGAGGAACCCAGCCCGCAGGGGACAGCCACGCACCAGCACAGCCCCCGAGAAGCAGAGCCTGGTCCTGTCTGCCCAGGGTGTGATGAAATGTGGGACCATAAAGAGCCAAGGTCAGCCAGAGTTTTCTGCTCCTGCCCATCAAAGCATCCTAACTGATAGAGAGATCAAGGAAAGAGATGGCAAACATGACACAGGGTCCTAGTCAAAGGAATGAAACATGAGAGGGCAGAGGTCACAACATGACAAGCTTCTAAAGACAAGTATCCTAACCATCTTGACTCTTCTGAAGGAAAGAGAGCTTTTAAAAAGTTAAAATCAAAGTATTGTTAACTAAATGTTTATGCACGGGTGAATGAATAACAAACTATGATCTATACATACAATGGACTATTCAGCCTTAGAAAGAATTCCGACACATGCTACAACATGGCTGTATACTGAAGACATGGTGCCCAGTAAAACGAGCCAGACACAAATGACAAACACTGTGTGGTCCCACTGAGACGAGGTCGGTAGAGCAGGAAATGTACACAGACAGAAAGTAGAACTGTGGACGCCAGGGGCTGAGGGACAGGAGAACGGGGCGTTAGTGTTTAGTGGGGACAGTTTCAGTTTGGGAAGATGAAAATTTTCTGAAAGTCGAATGTGGTAATGATTGCACAATATGAATGTACTTAATGCCACTTAATTGTACACTTAAAAAATGGTTAGAATGGCAAATTTTACATTATGTATATTTTATCATAATTAAAAAATAAAAGTATGAGGTAATGGGGGGGGACCTCTGCATTTATATAAAAATTCCTGTAGAGATAACGACAGTTCCAAGTTGCTGCTCAACAGCATAAAAGGGCCAGCAGAATAACAAGAAATAAAAAACCTATTAAAGAAGCTACTAAAATGCGCTTTACCTGATGGCTAGGACCCACACGAATTTCCCCCTGGGTACTGTTCAGCCGCCTGTCAGGAAAAGAGTAGATTTGGTTAACAAATGTAGTTTTGACATAAATGTTCACATATTTTTCAAGGAAAGTAACTCACTTCAAATAAATGAAGTATAACTCAGGAAGAATCCACTATTTCTAATGCTGCTCTGAACTCCCCACCGCACACGTCTGTAAACCTTTTTCTCCTAAAAAGCCATGACTGCAGCCTCCTGTCATTCCTTTACCATCACGCTTCCATGCCACAGAGGGAGGTGCATGCCTCCTGTATAACCCCAATAGATGCTTCTCTTTTCGAAACATTTCAGGATGTCCTACGCAAACCTTACTGAAATATAAACAAGATAACTATGGTTCCTCACACACACACTGGATCATTCACTCAGTCATATATTCGACAAATATTAAGTACCAACCATAAGCCAGAAATTGTCTTAGGTGTTGGGGATAAAGCAATGAACAGAACAAAGTCCTTGCCTTCTTGGAACTTACATTCTAATTCAGGTAGAAACAAGCAAACAAACAAACACAAATAAATAATAGGTCAGATGATGATAAGGGCCAAGGAATGAAGTAGAAGGTAAATGATGAACTATTTTTATAGTTATTTATACAGGACAGTCACAAAAGACCTTATTAATAAAGTGAAACTTGCCCTAACCGGTTTGGCTCAGTGGATAGAGCGCCGGCCTGTGTACCAAAGGGTCCCGGGTTCAATTTCAGTGAAGGGCACACACCTCGGTTGCAGGCTCCGCCCCGGCCCAGGCCCTGGTTCGGGGCTTGTGCAGGAGGCAACCAATCAATGTGTTTCTCTCACATCCATGTTTCTCTCTGTCTTTCCCTCTCTTCCACTGTCTCTAAAAATCAATGGAAAATATCCTTGGGTGAGGATTTTTAAAAAGCCAAACACAAAATAAAGACTTGAGCAGAGATGAAAAAGATGGGATGGAATGAGCCCAGTAGGTCTTTGAGGTGGAAGGGCTTGCCTCATTTCGGTCTACGCCATTCTTCATTGTTGTTGTTACATAAATTAACTCATTTGTTACAGGCCAGCAATGTTTCAAATTGTGGCGCTTCCACTGGTCTTGCATTCCTCTCTCCGGAGGCTGACTTCCCTGGGACGGCAGCCGGGCTGGTGTGGTGCAGGCACCACCAGCTGCTGTTTCCATGCAGGAGCCACAGTGCCAGGTCCCCCAGCTCCTCTCTTCATCTTGGTTTCGCCACAGGAGTAAGTGTCCTTGGCATTCTGGTTCATGTCAATTCTCCTCACCATTTTCCTGAGGGAGGCGCCATATGGGTCCCATATTTACCAACGATGTGGACCTTCTCGGTGTGTTTAGCCATGTCACCACAACCAGGGCTATGCCATTCTTACTGCACTTGCAAGGCCCACCCTCCCTTGCTCCAAACCTAACCATCCAAGTTCCTTTTAAAAGCCAGTTCCCAATAAGCCTTTCTTGATGTCCCCCCCATTTCACCTCACACTCCCACAGAAGTGTAGGGAGCCTTCCTCTCTCCACTCCTTTATGGAATACTCGTTGAGTATCTTCTCTTGTCCCAGGCCTGGCACAGGGCACTTACTGGGTGCACCGTGGAGAAAAAGAAATACAGTCCCTGCCCTCCCAGAGCTCGCCCGTGTGTGACACCAGGGAGCCCTTCCTGTGCCCAGTGACCGGCCTCTGTGGTTTACAGTCACCATGAACGGGCACCAGTGCCAGGGGAAGGCGTTGGACAGCGGGGCTGCTCGTGCACTTGCTGCCTGCGTGAGCTGAAGAGCCGGGTCCGGCAGCAAAGGCCCGGGGAGGAAGCACAGTCTCGTTTTTCCCTGTGGATCTGATACGTTCACTGTTATGTTTGAAGTTGTTGCAGTGAATGGAAACACTTTTATTTCCTTCAGAGGCCTTGGGTCCAGCACTCCCTTCTTTAGTCCAACAATTTTTCTCATGAAGAGTCGTATTTTGGCAAAGGTGGCCAGTAGATATGACAAAGGAGAGACAAGTAACAAAAAGAAAAGATGTGTGGCCCAGTACTCATGAGCTTACAACCCACCTACCGGGGGAGGTAGCATTTATCCATGAGCACAAAACATGTCAGAAGAAACAGAGTATAAAACTGATAGGGGGAGTGGCCAAAATTAGGCAGGTTTCAGGAAAAGTCCAAGAAACAGTTAAGTTCCAAAGAGACCTCTGAAGGAGGACAAGCACAGCAGGACTGATTCCCAAGTGGGGCGGACAGGGCGGGGGGCACCTGCAGAGGCCACAGGCGAGAGGGAGGGACGTGGTGGGAAGAAAACGTGCATGAAGTGCCGGCTTTAAAACGTAAGCCCCATCTTACATTTTAGTGTCTTCAGCAGGCAAATGACATGTTGGGAAACAGAAGCTAGAAGATAAGATAGATTGTTCTAGCAGGTTTCTGTAGGAATCACAAGAAGCTGCTCAGGAAGGTATGTGGAAGAACCAAGAGGCCAGAAGGCTAGTTTAATCACCATACTGCTTTAAGAAAAACAAGCAGCAGCGTTACCAATTTCCCTTCTGACTTGTCCCTTCGTTTCGTAATCGTAACTAGCTATGAGCAAAACTAGCTGCCAAAAGCTCTCTCCTTTTATTTCTAAATACTTTGCAAATGCTTGCTTGCCTACATGTAAGTTGAGCCTACATGTATGTTGAGCCAAAATGTATCATCTCAGAAAGCTTCAGCCATAGCCCACCTAGCAATTTGTACCCACAGCTCAACTCTCAGGTTGTTCTAAAATGTCTGTGTCATGCCAAGCTTCTCAAGTGGTCACTTATGAAAGCATTTCCCCGTTACTGCTACATACACTGCTAAGGCCTTCAGAATTCTAAGACAAACATTGCTGGGTCATTTTATTTTAATACCTCTTCTCTTTTTATTTTCTTTTAATAAACCAATATTTAGCTTAAAAAAAGTACAATAATAAAAACAAGCCCCAAATACCTTCTTGAATAGAATAACTCATATCTTGCTTATTGGTATAAAAATGGAAGTTAATCATTATTCATACTGTTAATAATGATACAAGTGAGGCAAAAGTGTGTTGGGGTATCTTAAGGGTCTAAATTGAAAATGTTTTTTCATGAAGGTTACTGTAAGGTGAGTAGGTAAAAAGTACAAAATAAAGCTAAAAAAGAGAATCTTTTTAAAAACATTTAAAATCAATTTTTACAACAAAAGCATTTTTTTTTAAATCCTCACCTGAGGATATTTTCCCCCCACTGATTTCCAGAGAGAGTAGAAGGGAGGGAGGGAGTTTGGGGGAGAGAAAAAACATTGACACAAGAGAGACACATCAATTGGTTGCCTCCCATATGCACCTCTTCCAGGGCTGGGGAACCTGCAACCAAGGTATGTGCCCTTGAATGGGAATCAAACCTGAGATCCTTCAGTCTGCAGGTCAACACTCTAACCACTGAGCAAAACCAGCCAGGGCAACAAAAGCATTTATCATATGCAACTTTCAAATGTTAGGATTTCACATTAAGAGACACAACAGTTATTACTGAGCAGGTTAGGACCCTAGGTAAGCAGACATTGACATTAGCTACCATATCCAGGAACTCCCAAATATAGAATAAATGGCAGAAATATTTTTTAGGTCCGAGATAAAAAAGATAGCAACACAACCCATTAGAGAAAACGGGCTGCATCCGACAGAAAAACTGTCAGAATATGAACTAAAGATGAAAGACAAGAAGGAGGCTTCATGGGAAGCTGCCAGTATCCAGCTGCACTGAAATCCACAGAACCATCCCCACCCTCCCTTCTCTGACAGCATCCAGCTCTGCATTCAATCAGACATTCCTCCCCGCGGCCTCCCTGCTCCCTTCTTCCCCGAATGTTCCTTTTGTGGCTCATGCCGCACTGTTAGAGGATGACAGTCCGCTATGTGGACATTTCCTACCTCCAGCCAAGCTGGGACTGTCAGCTTCTAGAGTACAAGAACTGAGTTTTAATTCATTTTTTAAAATCTCGCCCTGACTGGTTTGGCTCAGCGGATAGAGCGTCGGCCTGCAGACTCAAGGGTCCCGGGTTCGATTCCAGTCAAGGGCATGTACCTTGGTTGCGGGCACATCCCCAGTAGGGGGCGTGCAAGAGGCAGCTGATTGATGTTTCTCTCTCATCAATGTTTCTAACTCTCTATCCCTCTCCCTCCTCTCTGTAAAAAATCAATAAAATATATTTTTAAAAAAAAATAAATAAAAAAAAAATAAAATCTCTCCCTCCAGTCCCCCGAGTCTAACACAGTCCCTGCCTGGCATTATTAAGCATTCAGGACAAATTACAAGTTCCTTGGCTGCATAAATATCTATGGACTACTAAGATGTAAAACTTGACAAAAACCACCAGGAATTATTATTTAAATGTAATATTGACAGCTTGCAGAAAACACTCAATAATCATATGCTCAGACTTTTTGGTCTCAGAACCCTTTACATTCCCTTTTTTTTTTAACAGTACAAAATTTTTATATTTAGAATTAGCCAGCTGGACTCAGTTTAGATCATCCCAATTTTGTTGCCAACATCCAAAGCATCAGTCAAACCTACGCCCTCTTTTCTCCATCAGGCCTGATCAGGATGTTGACCTTGGCCATGTCAAGGCCACAGAGCTTCTTCACAGCCTGTCTGATCTGGTGCTTGTTGGCCTTGACATCACAATGGACACAAGTGTACTGTTGTGTCTTCTCTCTTCGTCATGGCTGGCTCGGGAGGGGGAATCTGATGGTGGTGCAGCGGTCAAGCTTGTTTCTCCCGGGAGTGCTCTTCCGAGGATATCTACGCTGCCGTTGGAGCCTCTTTGGTCGTAGGACGGTGGGTGACCTGCGGATCTTTCTTCTGTGTGGCTATGGACGCCTTTCAGCACTGCTTTCTTTGCCTTCAAAGCCTTTGCTTTGGGTTTGACTTTGGGAGGGGCAGCTTCCTTATTCGATTCAGTGCCATCTTCATAAAAAGCCCCTTTACGTTGCCCAGCCAGTGTGGCTCAGTTGGTTGAGCACTG